GAGTGCAGGGGAAAATTAATTCAAACTGCTGCCCAAATTATGCAAGAGCCTCATGGAATGGAAAGTGCACATTAACAGATTTTACTATTTTAGGGTGTTCTTTTATGTCTCATAATTTATTTTGCCATCATATTTGCAGACAAATAGGAAACAACACAGAACCCAAGTAATCCTAAGGGTGCTGACAGAAGATGGAACGAGCAAACAGGCACCTCCAGAGAAATGCTACTGAATAAACCCCAGCTCACCTGAATGGTGACAACATGATCCATCCCACAGCACTATAAATATAGGAATACAATCCAACAGAGCCTAAAGCATCACTGGCTTTGCTAATATATCCAAAGTTATGCCTGTATGTCCCAGCTTCCTCAGCAGCTCCAGTGGAAGCTCACAGGCCAGTTCAGGTTGCAGTAGCACCCCATTATTTTACTTTGCAACCCAAACAGCTCATCACACCCATCTGTGGAACTACCAGTCAAATAATCCCAGTCCTCCAACTCCCATCCCAAAGGACAGGGTTTAAACCTTCACCTGGTGCAAATCTGGATTCCTAAAACACTTCCATGGGACCTGTGGCAATTTTTATCAGCTGAGGACCCCCAGCTTCCCAAGAGCAATGAATGAAAGCAGTCAAAGTTCAAAGAGCAAACAATTCCCTTCTGTTCTCAGCCACATTCCCATTCTCTCATCTGCAGCATGAGATGCATCAGAGCAGCTGCACCTTGGCCAGTTTAAATCATCACAGTGCTCCAGCCCCACAAATACTGTTCCCTTTTGCTTCCTTCACCTCTCCCTTGGTTAAAATAAATTCCTTTGATTAAGGGAAATCAGGAGCACCCAACTGAACTGACTTCCAGCAGATCCTCTGGAAAGCACTGCTATAACAGCCACCTATCAACAGCAGTGGAAAACAACCAAGCTTTTTAAAAGTGATCAAAACATTTTTAAAATTTATCAAACCCTGCAATTGCCTTGAGATACAGATCCAGACTTTGTTGGCAATTACAACTGGCCCCTGTTTCCAGGAGAATTCAGCACCCATGCCCCATTAAACTCCTTTAGGAGGGACAATTAGCTGAGGACTGACAGTAATTTTGCCAGTTCATTTACCAGAAGGGATAAAGCCAACCTGAACCATGTTAATGTGAGAATCTCAAGACTGGCATCATTCTGTGCTGTTGTACAAGAAATGTACTGCTAGAGAAAGGGATGTGGCCATGGTGTTAATTAGGATTGCTGGGGTGTAAATAATGTTTTGTTTCATGAAGTCTAGCCAGGGCAAACAAATTATTTAGCTCATAGTACAGCTGAATGAAGAGCTCAAATGTATAAGAGGATGTCTCTGGGAATCAATAGTGGATCACTGAAACATTTAATCACAGTTTTACTGATCTCACTGCACCATCTGAGCTCTGCAGTCAATGGTGCTGATATTCTCATTAACAACAGAACCATCAGTCTGAAACACTAACGGGGCAGAGCAGCTGAAAGGGCTTGTGCTCCAAGGCTTCCTAGGGGAGCCAGGAACTCTAAATCTCCCTTTTAGGAGTTTCCACTGTGATCTCCTGTCAGAACCCAGGACATCCCTCTGGCTGCCCTGGCCAGGGGCTCAGAGACCTTGGCACAGAGTCAAAGACACCTCAGGCTTTGATTTTAACCCATGGAAACAATTACCAACTTTATATGAGGATTCACAAGCTACGAGAGTTTAGGCAGAATGATGGTTAGTTTGTCACAAGGTAGAAAAACAGAATTTAGGGTTTTTAGAATGGAGGTTCAGAAGCCAAGATGGAGGGATTTGGGTGTGCCCTGTCCTTTTTCCTTCTCCTTCTTAGCCTCCATCTGCTGGGTGCTGGTGGCACTTTTGGATTGGTTTAGAGTAAAACACACTGTCTAACATAGGTGATAGGTATTAGAAAATTATTGTAAATAAAGTACACGTAGTTTTTAATATAAAAAGATAACACCACCCTGAGGGCAGTCAATGCGCCATGAACCAACCTGCTGGACAGAGCTCAGCAGGTCAGAAAAACAATGTTACAGATAACAGAGAATAAACAACTTGAAAACCACAGCTGAGCAATCCTGACTCCTTCTTCAATCTCAGGGCTGGGAAAAAAGAGAATTTCTGACACCTTGGGGTCACCTTGACCACAGAAACCCTGAGAGTTTCCCACCGAGGGTGAGTGGCTGTGACTGCACATCCCCATAGGGGAGATCCCATCTGGGCACTGAACCAGCACCCAGGGATCCACTGCCAGGCTCCAGAGCTGCTTTCAGTGCTCAGCCCTGCCCACACTGGGGATTTCTGCACGTGGGAAATGTCTTTGTTTCCCAGTTCTGATCCTGCTACCTGGCATCACTCTATCCCACCAGGCAGACGTTTCCCAGCAGCTTGGGAGAAATGCAAGACCCTTTGGGGCAGCTGCTGCCTTTGCATCCCACACTCCTGTGATTCATCTGATTCATCCCCCTCCCCATTTGCTGCATCTTCCTCTGTGAGGATGCTTCCCTGCACTCCCTCAGCCCTGACCTGCACGTCTGACACTCCTGTCCCCAGGCTCATTGCTCCTGAGTCTGGCAGCAGAAATGCTGTGAGAGCTCCTGCCTGGCATCTACAGGCTCCAGACAGTCTCTCCCCAAAGGATATTCTGAAAGACACTGAAATTCTGACCAGGGTACCATCAAGCTGCCTGGGAAAGGATGTTGCTCAAAACTATTCCAACATAGCATTTTTCTTATTTTTCATGCAATTATTGAACAAACATCAGAATGCAAAATAGCCCCTGGGACTGGAAAATGGAATTAAATCTTCCAGCAAACACGAGAAAATGGATACTGACATTTCTATTAGCAACAAAATGTTTCATGCTTAGAAACTGGTAACCTGACACTGCTCCAGGGAATTCAGGAGGGTGAGGAAAAATGGTTTGAGACAGCATGAGGAAGGAACAGATATAGAGGAACACCCCAGTGAGACACAGCTGGGTGTGGGGTGGGCAGGAGGACACCCTGGTGCTGGTGGCACCGTGGTTTGCTCACAGACAGTTCAGGCCAGTGGAAAAGCATTTTTTGGCACAGGGTGAAGGACAGGGGCAGCCACACCTGGGGGTTCTCATGGGGCAGCAGAAGGGAGTGTTTGGTGTGTGCATCCCCAGCTTTGTTTTGTTGTAACTTCAACCTGGTCCCCCTAAGGAGGAGCCACCTGGCCAAAGCTCCCCTTGAAATTTACTGTCCAGGACAACCAACAAATGACATCCCAGGCCATCTGTGTGGCTCCTGTGCTGGGTTTTGGAGATAGTGCCATTCTCAGAGACACTTCACAACCTAAAATCACTCACACACCACTTACATGATGCCCACCAGGCTGCTTCTCTTCCCCTCCTCCTCCCAGAGCCCTGCTCACTGAAAATGGCTCACCCTCTTCTCCTCTATTCTGTATTTAATGGCTTTTGAACTTCAAAGAGGGGTGAGAAAACCCCATCACTTCAGCGTGCAGCTAAATATTATGCAGCCACATTACTGAAGAACACCTACAAAATACACTGCTAAAATAAACTCCCCTTTGAATTCTTCTTATAATATCTCTCAGAGAGCTCAGAACACACTGCCCTTCTTCCCACACAGCACTGAAGCACCTACTTCACTTTAACCAGGTACACACTCTTCTCACAGTCAAAAGGACTCATCATGTGCTTAAAATTATTCATTTTCCTCAAGCACTTCGTTGAATCCCAGCTTTTATATCCAGAAGTTGCACGATAGAAATTGGAAACATCATTCTTGGGTGGGTATTATACACACATTAGCAGATACATTCAAAAATTATCTAAGAAATCAAACTATTGCTAATAGAACATATCCGACTCCAGCAGACAGCTTTTATAAAAATCTAAAATAAAAATGTACTCTCAATGAATATGGATACTCCCCACACACTGTGTGCCTCATGTACACAACACAGCGGAGCTGAAATGCTCAAAACATAAATTGAGAATATATGAGATCAGAATTTAATTGTGGTTTTCATAACAGCAAACTGCTGGAGCTACCTGCATATTATTAGTCTTGAAAAGCATCATGAAAATAATATTTTAACCTTTAATCTGTAGCATGGTCTTTGCTAATAAAATTATCCCAGAGCCATCCAAGCACATAGCTGGTGTCAACTACTTAATATGCAGAATAAATTAAATGCCACTTACATATAGCAAAGAAATACCCAGCTAATTTCATGCACTTTCATGCTGGTGCAGCCAACACAACAAACACAGTAGAGCTCTGTGTCTCCTCCTCAAATCTTGCTCTTCTGCAAGAAAATCACCCAAACCACTGCTCTGCTATCCCAGCCCCTGCAAGGCCACTGTCACCTGCTGAAAGAGCTCTGAAATGAGCTCTGAAACAAACACAATACCATTTATCCCCAGCTTTCAATCCAGATTCACACACCCTGCTCCAGAAACAAACCCATTGGAGCTGCTCCTGGGGAACAGCCCATGGAAATCAACAGAAAGACTCTTGGTAACTGATCTGTTTCCATCAGGTATCCAAATTCCCAATATCCCAAATCAAGTGCAGGGAACGCCAGGAGATGTCACCCTGAGTTTTTAAGTTTTTCTAAGCCTTCTGATGTTTACATTCTTGTAAAGAACCGTCTCACACACTCTATGTAAATAACTCATTGTTTTGCACTCTTTTCTGGAAGAGGAGAAATTTGATGGACTGTTGGTTTGTCCAGTGTCATTGGAGAGGTGACACTTTTATAAATCTATAAATGTTGGAGTCAGAAATTTAAAAACTCTCTTTTACCTTGAAAGAGCAGCATGTCCACATCGTGTTATTTCATGTCCTATAGTGACAAGGAGGGATCTTGTGAACAAGACCATACTTACTTCTACTCAATGAGATATGGGCAATAATCAATAAAAAGAACATATAAACAGAGAGGAAGGTGCTGGACATCAAAAAACTTGTCAGCCAAAAATGTGTCTCACTACCTGCAGAATAAGGCTCCTGCTTCTCACTGTGGATGAACTCTTTTCGTTCATATTTGGCTCTGATCCACTGCTCCCGCAGTAATCTGGAATAAAAAATACAGAGAAAAGGAAACATGGTCCAAGATACACTAAGAAAGAAGTCAGAACTATTAATTCTTCAATGAAAGCACAAGTGTGATTTAAAAGTCTTCCAAAAGTTGCATTGTACAGTCTGGAGTCAAGGGTTCCTTCTGCTTACAGTTGGACGACAATGAATCATTTCCTTGTACATCCAATTTTATTGAAAACTTATTTTTTAAAAAATGCACATATTTAGCAGAAGAGCCTGTCCCCACCCACCCAGTCAGCCTCTGTAAAAAATCCCCTCAGTATATGAACCATTTTAGACCTAATTTTCTCAGGCCACATACTTCAGTGAACAGGGTGAGTAAATGAAAAATCCCAACCCCATACAAAAGAGAGATTATTGCCCTGAAGATATCAATACAGAAGCAGAAGGTGCTGAAAACCCATCTGGCCAAGTTCTTCCAAAGTCACAGCCCATACTGCAGAGTTTAAGAAAGCAGTCTATGATGCATGGCAGCAAATATGATTAAAATGTCCTTTACTTTTAATCCTGAAATAATACAGATGATTTATACACTAAGACCACAATTTCCAAAAAGGAAAAAAAAAACACCTCAAAGATTATAATTGTTTTTTTGCTATTTTATTTCAGCATGAGTGTTTGAACCAATGAAGTAACTTTGATCTGGAATATGCTGGAAGTTGCTTCAAACCATTTTTAACTGAACTTATTTCTTAATTGCCCTAGAACCCTAAATAGCCCAGATCACACTCAGAAATAAAGGCATGTGTTATCCCAGCTTCACAGCAGACATTTTGGAGCTGCCTACACTGAAGACAGCAAAAGATCCCCCAGCACTGAGTGTGTTTTGTAAAACCATCACATTTCAACACATCAACTTCTCTGCCAATGAAAACGATTCATATGCTTAATCACCTTTTCTTTTTTGCTGATTATGCAAACCAAATGGTGTCTTTTCAGCAGCCACATCCCAGAAATGCTCAAAGAACACAAACATACCAACACTGCTTATGAAAATTCATCTGCAGGTACAGCAAACACATTCAATAAATCTGCAAGACAGCATCCAGTGAGAACTGAGGCTGTGATTGGTTTCCTGGCAATAAAGGAGGAAATAATTGCATAGATTTTGTTCCCCCCATTGTGTCAGCTCCTTGGTTGGGGCACCAGCCTTCTCTCCAAGGCTTGGGGAGCACCACAGCTTTCCTGCCCCAAAATCAGCTGTGAGCTCCTGCTGTAATACAAACAAAAAACGGTTTTGTTTGTATCAAATCTGCCTCTGCCCTTCTGCTCCTGTTTCCATGGCTGATCTTTGGCTGTCACACATCTGCCAAGTTTGACTGTGAGCTCTGAACACCCATTTCTCATTTCATGCTGCCATCCTGTGCTCTGCTCTGGGTGCATCCCATCCTCAGGAGCTTCAGGGGCACTTTGTACAATCACAGAAAGCTTGGAAGGGACCTTAAAATCATCTAATTCCAACTCCCCTGCCATGGTGTTGCTCAAACCCCATCCAGCACCCAAGGGGGCTCTTCTGGGTCCAGCAGGATGCCTTTTCTGGATCTGACGTCCACAAATATAGAAGCCTGATGACTCAAAAGGTGACACCCAAACACCTGCTCTATGATGCTGTCACTGATCATCAGAGCTACCAAAACTTAATCATAAAACAAACACAAATACTTGAATTGACTATTCTTCTTGCAATTTTTCCCTGGCCAGCTGCTGTGGACAGCTTGTTACCACTGAAGCCAAACTTCGACCTTTTCAGCGAGATGATGAGGGATGGAACGGGGAGGAAGAAAATTCACACCACCCTCAGCTCCAGCTGACGTCAGTGGCTTCAGCAGGAGCTGCAGCTGCTCTGAGCTCTGGAATTGCGAGAGTTCAGCCTTCCAGCATGGGGCTTTAAACACAGCAAAAATTGAGAATTCATGGGCAGCAGTGGGAAATACTCCTGCTGCAGGGTGCAGGCTGTGCAGGGCTCATCCCTGGGGTAAAACACTCCTGCTGCAGCATGCAGGCTGTGCAGGGCCCATGCCTGGGGATGCACACTCCTGCTGCAGCATGCAGGCTGTGCAGGGCTCATCCCTGGGGATAAACTCTCCTGCTGCAGGGTGCAGGCTGTGCAGGGCTCATCCCTGGGGATAAACTCTCCTGCTGCAGGGTGCAGGCTGTGCAGGGCTCATCCCTAGGGTAAAACACTCCTGCTACAGGGTGCAGGCTGTGCAGCAGGCACCCACCCTGCAGGGTTCATCCCTGGGGGAGCAGCACTTCCCTGTCTGCTCACAGCATTGCTGCAGTGGCCCCAGAGCTCTTGTGCAAGAGGGCACCCCCGGGTTAGCCAGCAGGCACCACACCCCAGGGGGAGCCCTGAGAAGCTGCAAAATGTTCTCCCTCAACATCTGGCCCTGAACAGGAGTGGCTGCAACTCCTTAATTTCCCAAAGCCCATGGGAATCCAGCTGTGCCACCTTCCCAGCAGCTTCCTGGCACTTCACACACACTCTTCCCCTTCCCTTATCATCACAACCCGAGGCTCTTTCAGCAATAATTTCCCAAAAGCCAGAACATACCACAGAGCAGCTCACAGTTTGGACAACTCAGTGCAAGGCCACCAGCTGCAGCTTCTGCTCCAGGGGTTATTTATAGAAAGCAGAATAACTCCAGTAAAAGAAACCAAAACAAAAACCCAGCTAGGATGGCGAGGAGTTCACCATCTCCCTCCACTGCAAGACAGAAGCTGAGCAGGGATCACACCACATTCACCATCTTTTGGACTAGATGCAATCCTGCCATACAAAGCTGCTGGTGCTAAACTCAGCTTCACCAGCACAGCTGTGATGAATTCACACAGGAGCAGAATGTGCCCTGGGATCTGCAGGAGCTGAGAGCAATTGCAGGGCAGAAGATCCTCAAACCATGCATGGATTGCATGGAAACAGCACCCACTTTCAGGAGACTGCTGGCCTGATCTTAATTTAAATATATCTTCAGAATAGCTTCAGAAATATCTGTTTTAATTGAAATGCACTTTTCCAGGCATGAATATGTGTGTTTGCAACCCAGGGCAGACACCATACACCCAACATAGGAGCCTCCATCCAAATCTATCTTTAACTCCAAAAGGATTCTGTGACCAGAAATTACAACAGTAACAGCCCCCTGGTATGTTACTGCATTTCTGGTGATGGGATCATGCAGCAAATCAGCAAATACATTATTTGTGTTTGTTAAAAGAAAATGTAAGTGCATCATTCCCAAACTGTGGAGATGCATCAGCTTTCAGGATCAACTCCAAAAGCTTTAACAGCCCACCTAAAGTCTGTCAGGCTGCTGGTTACAGGGAACTTGTCGTTTTTTGGCAATTAGAACAGCAAATTCATTGTACTCTTCAAAATCCCACCAACAAAACAAAACGCTAAGGAAACCCACAATTCAGAACAAGGGAAAATTCATCCCCCAGATGGGAAAGGACTGAGCTCGAGTGAGGGACAGCAGGTCCAGGGGCTGACAAAGCACTGCCCACACCATTGCTGGCACTTGTTTGCTCTCCTGACCACCCACACGAGCACCAGGGCCCTGCCCAGGGCCAGCAAGGAAGGTTCCAGAAGGAGCCACTGGAGCAGTTTGATCTTGGTCCCACCTACTCAAAGCTCACAGCAAAAAGCAGCACAGCAAAAGCTGCTGAAGCAGTTTAATATCAAACTGTGGCTGCATGGCTGCAGTGTGCTGTGTGGAGGAGGTGCTGGCCAGCCAGATTCAGTCTCTCCAGTTTATTTTTTTCCCCCAGAGTGGTTTTTTCTCAGCTGGGCTGGCTGGTGCACTCCAGAGCACACCCACAGATGCTGCACATCGATGCTGTGGCTTTCCTGGAGACACATGACAGACAAGAAACCCCAGCCAGGGGTGAAAGTGGCCCAAAAGACATCAAACACCCCCCACTACCCCTGCCCAACTGCATCCTTGTGAGGCACCATCAAATCCAAGAAAGACAAAAGAAGTGAATGTCAAACAGAAAACACCATTTCCAGAAGCCACATTTGCAGCTTCTGGAATTTGTCAGAGGATTTTCCAGCAAAATCCAGCAGGCTTTCCACAGGCAGCCTGGTGGAAGCAGCTGTGCCAGATTTCTGTCAAACAACTGCTCTAATGAAATTTTAAGTCAGAATCCAAATTCTTTGCTCAGGCTGCAAGGAGAGCCACTGCAGCAGAGACTAAAAGCCTGTCTAGCTTCACACTCCTTTCCTATCTACAAAGTTCTTGCTGTGAGGACTTGCTTTAAAGAGCTTTGTGGAGGGATGAGACAGCTGGGGGCTCCTTCAGGCTCTCTGTGCATCAGCTCATCCTGCAGAGCCTGAGCATTGATGTGCATCCCCTGCCAAGAGCAGCACCCCACAGCAAGGGGAGAGCACAAGCACAGGGGTTTGGCTCTCAAGGCATAAAACCCTTGCACTGTGGATTTGGAGAAGTTAAAACTGATTCTGAGCATGCAAAATTACAACATTCTCTGTTAAAATGCTAACTGGTTCCTTTTTTGGTTGCATTGCTTTACATGCACTGTCCAGCACACCACAACACTATTTTTCAGAATGGTTCAACACCAATTAAAACCATGTAGGAAGCAGCCTCTGTCAGTACCACCTTAACCTTGTAGCAATTTCCTTTGGAAATTAAGGGAATCAATATGAATTAACAGGTTTACAAGCTAACAGCAAAGAGAAAATGAACAAGGAGAGTAAATCCCATGGCTGGTCAGGATTGAAGGACTGGGCAGATCTCAGCACTTGGGTGACCTGAAGAATTCCTGAGGCTCAGTGACCAATTTGAGCCACCAAGGAGGCTCCACCATTGGGAATGAGCTGATGAGCAGCCACTCCCAATGGCCACACTGCAGCACCTCAAATTTTACACCCAGGACATCACCCAAGGCACTTCTGAAAGCTGTGGATGTAAAATCTGAAAACCCCAAAAGAACAAAAAAAAAAGAAAGCAAACTAAAAAAAAAAACAAACCTAAAAACCTAGTTATTAATAAAATAACTAGGAGCCTGAGTAAATCTCAATTTTACCCCTGTGGACATTATGCAATGAAGTTTTTATAGCTATAAAGTGTTTATTCTCTATGAAGCACTGGCAAAAGGAGGTGACAGAGGAAGGGGTGAGGAGTTTGCAGCCCAGGCATGGCAGAGGAGGGGCCCTGTTGACCTTCCCACACCACACCAAGGTGATGGGCTTGGTAGCTCCTCCACCAAACGTACCAAACTTCAAACGATTAAAAAATAAATAAAAAACCCAGAGCTCTCCCAGGCAATTTTTCCTCTGCACATCTCAATCAATACAAAAAGGCACTTGAGCAGTAACTGCTGTTCTGAGGATGAGGGCATGGATGGTGTGTGCCTCTCTCTGATGTCTCACAACCAGCACAGCCCATCCACCTCACCCTGCCCCATTTTCCTGTGCTCACAGCCAGGACACTGAGCTGCTCTGCATGAGGAGCAGATGCAGCTCCCACTGACCCAAGCACAGAGAGGAGCACAGCAAAGCTCTGCAGCTCCTTCTCAATGCCACAGGATGAGGCTCTGCATGCCCAAATCAAGCAACAGAAAACCATGGTAAGTATTGGGCAGGGACAGGGATGCACTTCCAGCTCTGCAAAAGCCCAGTAAGAGCTTATCTCACTTTCTCCTATCAGTTTTCAGCCAATAAAACACTGAACAAAGTATTTTTCCTTTGCTTTCACTCAAGAGTGAGTACCTGCTGCTGAGGGACGACTCAAATCTCAGCCACGTGCTTGCAATGTGTCTGCCCCACAAAAATCTGTTTCACAGCTCTCCATCTGCTGCTGTGGTGCACCAAGCTGGGCCATGACCCCTTGTGACCATCCAGAGAGAGGTTTTGTGGTTTAAATTCCACACCCAAAGCTCTTTGGGCCAACCTTGTGGTGGTGTGGGAACATCCCAGAGTCTGGGACTCATCTCAGTGTCAGGGACTGCCCAGAGGAACAGGAGCAGCTCTGGTCACTGTCCCTGGGACATGGGTCAGTGCTGGCAGGCAGAGATGAGAGGAAAGAAGGAGATTTTTTTGTTTGTTTTGGGTTTTTTTTTTGGCTTGTTGGGGTTTTTTTTTGGTGGGGATAATTTTTTCACCTATGAACTTTTCCTGGGCAATTCCAGAGCACCCCTCCAACTTCTCTAACCTGTGCCAAGTGTCATGCAGAGCCAGGAGGCTACAATGGGGTTTTTGAAGGATACAGAGCAGGCAAACACCATGAATTTCCCAAAGAGCCAACCACAGCACTGCAGGCAAGAAGAAAAAAGGACAAGCTGGCACTGCAGCAGTTCCTCCCCCCAAACTTCACAATTCCTCATGCAACCAAGGCAGAGGGATTCCAGAAACAGCATTATAAAATTAACAGGCTTCCAATGAACAAAGAGCTGCCCAGGCACTGCAGCTGCTGGGATGAGAAGCTCCAAAAGCTCTCAGTGCTGCAGAACATGGTTGGAATCACTGCCAGTGCTGGATGGAGGTGTCACCCATGGTGATGCTTCCCAGGGCTGCAGGCTGGGAACAGCTCATGCTCTTGCAGTGACTGGACTGCAGCGAGGCGGGGGAAAAGCTAAATTTACATCCCTGGAGAAAGCAGCACTCCCCTGCACTTGTTCAGCGTGCATCTTGAGAGGAACAGAGAGCCCTGAGCTAGAGAAAGAGAAATACAACTGGGCACAGCATCCTTGAGACAGGTGTGCTGTGCCCACAGTGTCCTGCAGCAGTGTCAGGGGATTCCCTGCTCCTCTCAGAGGTCACATCCATCCCACTGCATCCTGCTGTCATGTCCAGAGAACCCCTAGCAGGGCAGAGCTCCAGGCTGAGCACACGAACCAGGCCATGTAGGCCGGGAATTGTCCCAGTAAGAAGCTGGGACCAGAAAAGGGTCAGAAATTTGTGTTCCAGCTGCTCCCAGGAAGATTGGCCTTGCCTCCCAATGAATCAGTAAATAACCAAGAACAACAAATCCTTTTAATTCCCTGCTCCTCACAGGTTCCCAGCCCAGCATGATGCTGCTCCATCAGCCATGGACCCGAGTAAGGTCCCTGTGAGCTCACACAGCCCCAGTGAAGTTCCTGCGAGCTCACACAGCTCCAGAAGGGTCCCTGTGAGCTCACACAGCCCCACTGATGTCCCTGTGAGCTCACACAGCCCCACGGATGTCCCTGTGAGCTCACACAGCCCCATTGATGTCCCTGTGAGCTCACACAGCCCCACTGATGTCTCTGTGAGCTCACACAGCCCCACTGATGTCCCTGTGAGCTCACACAGCCCCAGTGAGGTCCCTGTGAGCTCACACAGCCCCACTGATGTCTCTGTGAGCTCACACAGCCCCAGTGAGGTCCCTGTGAGCTCACAGAGCCCTGGCTGGAGCTGAGCCAGTGCCTGGCAGAGCTCCCCAGAGTGACACAGCTCTGCAGGATGGAGGGAGGGAACAGCAGAGCACCAATGGGGCTGGGCTGCACTGGCCAAGCAGGGCACAGCACCAGGCACAGACCCTGCTGCCAGCCCACAGCAGCAGCAATGGGGATGCTCCTGCTCTGCAGGCTGCTCCAGCAGCTCCTGCTGCCTCTCCCTGTGCAAGGAGGGCCAGGTGTGATGGGTACCCACATCTCAGGACACCCCAGGGACCTGCCCTGCTCCTCCTCCAGCAGGAGCTCTGCACTCCTCAGTGACAGGCAATGGAAAGAACCAGGACTGTGCTCCTGGGCAAGCTGGGCACCATCAGAGAGGAGCATCTGACTGGATTAACTGACACTTGGGAGCAAACAAAATCAAAACCCCCCAGAATTGTTTCTCCTGCCAATCTTGCTTCTCCAACCCCAACATGACAAGCACACACAAGTCCCAAAATGGCACAGCCAGACTGCTGGGATTCTGGAGCTCAGAACATTGCATAAATGGATGCTGTTTTCTTGCCAGGCCAGGCAGCCCCACTCACACAAAAATAAAAACACCTTGGTATACAGCAGGGCTGGACCCTAAAAGCCAAATTCAGTCCATCCCCTTTTCCCTGGATGGCAGAGCAGGTTCTGCTGCTCAGCTCCTTGCTCCCAGCTCGCCAGGGAGGTTACTCCACACAGCCTTTCAGCTGCCTCCATGGAGCAGATTATTTCTCATCTAGGTGGAAAAAAACCCAACAGAAACCCCCATTCAGTATTTCTGCATTACAAATAACCCAGCATCTCACCCAGCAGATCAGCAAGTTCTGCCTTGCTGCAGAAGGGGGGTTTGAAAAGACAGAGGAAATCAATGGGTAGAAATTGGCATCCTTGCAGCTCTAGAAACTTGGAAGAGCCTGGGGAACAGGCAAACTATTGACTCCCATGCATCATCTCACTGTACTTATTAAATAGGATCCCACACGTAGCATAGACTCTACCATATGTGTGCAGAAGGAAAAACATTTTCAGGATTTTTATAAATGAAACCTCAATTGTGGCAAAAAAAAAAAAATCTTATGCTAAAACTAAAGTATTGCAGAGGCTGCAGCTGCACAAACAAATAAATGTTGTTTACCAGCAGAGGTATTTACTTACTGGCAGTCAAGATACGTTGGTTTATAATAAAACGGTGGCATTTTAGATTCATATTTTGCTTTTGCTACATTGTTTCCATTCGAGGCCATAAACTGTAAAAAGAGAAAAAACCAGGAAGAATTAACAAAATTTAAACAGTATTTTCTTTTATTTTCTTACTTCTACAAAGCAATAAAATTATTGGGATGGGGGACCTGTTCTCTTACTGAGAGGTGCACCCAGGACTGTGCACAGAAGGGCTGCTGCAAATAAATATTGGTTATTATTGCAAATAAATATTGGTTATTATAGCAAATAAATATTGGTTGTTATTGCAAATAAATATGGGTTATTATTGCAAATAAATATTGATTATTATTGTTAGGGGTCCTACAGATTAAAATGATGCTGAGGACATGTCCCAGCCCCACCTGCATCATCCCACAGGAGCAGGAGGCAGCACACAGTGACATTTCCCCCCCAGGCTTGGGAATCAGATGGATCCCAGGAATCCAAATGGGGATTAGGTAACCAGGGGAAAAAACCTCCCACTGGCTTTTAGTCTCCATGTGCTACAGCTCCAGCAGGGTGATTGCCTCTGACAACACATCCTGTGCCTCAGATCACATCACTTGCGCCAAAAGCATGAGTTTGTTTTTGCAAAGTCATTGCAGCTACCTCAGGAAGGAGCTTGAAGTGATAGACAAATAAATAAATAAACAAACAAATAAACACATAAAAGTTCTATCTCCCTTGACAGCCCTCCTTTCCAATAAATAAATCTATAATGTTTCTATCTCCCCTGACAGCCCACCTTTTCTTCTGATACACAAATGGCTGGTTGAGAACTCAGCAAAGAAAACTACTTCTTTCCTAATTCATACATTTTGTTTATTGAAATTCCCTTTATAAGTGTAAAAAACCCCATTCTTTTCCAGGCAGCCATGCTAAATACATTTTGTTTTGTGTCAAATACCAAGCATACAAACACAACAAGCAGCAAAGCTTTTTTTTTTTTTTTTATTACTGTCATGGTTTTGAATTTCTCACATTTATATACTCAATCTATTCCCCCCAAAAAATACCAGGAAAGGAAAAGCCCATGGAACACTAAGGCCTATTGTGATAAAACACACAACTCCATGAGGTGCAGCTTTCAGAAAAACCTCAACTCTACACATAGAAGACAGAAATCAGTGACTGGTAGAGTCCTTCATGCCTTTGAAGACACCAGCAGTGAAAGCAGAAAGGTTTCCTGGGTGCCTTTAGCAGCACCACTGAAATCCAGGCAGGTGTGGGGCATAAATAGAGAGAATTTATACTGTGAGGGTTTGGTTTTCCAAGCTGTGAATTTAAGAGGAACAAAGCCAGAGACAGCTGAGCTGGGCAGGGGTGGTGGACTAGGCAGACAGGTCTAGTCTGTAAGAAACATTGAGAAGAAGAAAGGAACAAGAGAAGACAATTCATTGTAAGAAAAAAGAGAAGACAACTCATTAAAAATTAGTATTTTTTATATGCCATTTCACTGATATCCTTATAGGAGTGGGGAAATCTTTCACAAAATGGGTGCTGTACTTCAATCAGCCCCAACCTCGCTCCCACATTCACCACCTAGACCTGCTTTGTGACACCCCACTTCTTGTGGCATCTTCAGGAAGGGAAGAGCCCAAAGGCCTGGCAGGGACCCTGGCAGAGCCCTGGCAGGGCAGGGGCAGCACGTACCTCCACCTGGGCATCGTCCCACTCGTCCAGGCGCACGGACTTCACCTTGCTGACCTGCGGGATGCTGCGGTGGATGCCCGAGCAGCTCAGGCAGATGAAGATGCCCAGGCTGTGGGATGCCCAGTCCGGGTCTGCAAGCAAAAAGGAAAGAGGGAATTGCATTTTACTGAGCTTTTGGATTCAGGGCAGCAGGAGGGAGGCAGAGACAGGGCATGGCAGGGGGGTCAGGAGCTCAGGGCATGGCAGGGAAGTTCAGGAGTGACCAGGTCTGATATCCCCGAGTCTAAAGGCATCAGGTAAACAGACAAGGAAAATAAATGTTTCTATTGACAGGAATACAAATTAAACTAACAATTAACAGATTGCAATCCCCACTGCAGCTGTTATTCCCCAAACCCCAATACACAGACAGCTGCATGTGCCCAAGACTTCCATAGCTCACTCCATGCTCACAAGAAGAGAAGAGGGGAATATCCTTCTTTCATGAGGAAATTCCATCTGAACACTGCATGGAACAGAAACCACATCAGCTCAGGAAGCTGCTGTACTGCTCCCTTTTTATTTATTTATTACATGTGCTCCACACTGAGATTTTCCTCCCACAGCTGCAGCTCCCAGCAGCCCAGCCCTCCATGCCAGGAGGTTTCCAGCCCTTGCCTCACTGGATAAATGCCACCAGTGGTAGCTCTGTACTTTCTCTGAGCAAAACCACCCAGTGTTTACAGCCCCGGGCTGACATCTCACACAAAGCACTGTAAACAGAATCCCTTGCCTCCAAATTCCTCCCTGGAGCAGGGACACAGAGGGACAGGAGGAGGGCAGGGGCAGGGCACATCCAGCAGTGTCCCTGGCACTGCCTTGCCAATGCAGCCAATACAGGGATCTTTGTTTGAATCCAAGGCAAATGTCAGTGCCTGCAGCCCCAGCTGTGCCCCAGCAGCATGAGTTTCACTGCAGGTCACCCCAGGCAGGCACCAAATCCTGCATCCTGCCCAAAACCACAGGGCTGGCAGCCCCTCAGCCACCCCATGGCACCAGGCTGGCATGGGGTAAGGGCAGGTTTTCCCCTCTCCCAGCCCCTCACCATCCCTTTATTCCCCACTGAACCCTCACTGCCCATAGCACAGCAATTATTTATAAAAGGCAAGGGGATGCGCTTCCTCCTCCTTATCCATATTTAATGCTCTGGCTGTGCCAGTGCAGGGAGCAGGCTGGCATGGGGCAGCTCAGCTCTGAGGGGGAAACAAGGGCTGCCACCACCTTGCCTGTCTGCAGAGACAGCCACCAGGGACAGCCACCAGCCTTTTCTGCAGGGACAGCCAGCAGGGCCCCCAGCACACCCTGGCGAAGGGCAGTTCAGTCCCCCAGAGGTGGCTCTGCTCAGATGCAAAGCCCAGTGCTGAATGAGGATTCTCATCAGACACAGCTGGGAGCTCACAAGGGAGAGGGGAGCAAATTCCCAGGCTGGCACAAGTCAGACACAAATATGGATTTTTCTATTTCACAGGGTCTCCTATCCTCACCAGAGACCCCAGTGATTACAACTCAAGCCTGGCAAGCACAAACCAGTCAGGTTGATCCAAGGGCCTGGTGCTGCCCACCCTGCTGATCCCACAGCTTCACACCCCATCCCACATCATGCACCCCTCTCATTCCAACCTCAAGGATTGTGCCCAGTTATTGGGCTGGCAGCAAGAACCAAGAGTTTTGCATGCTCAGGCACTTTCTGTGCTCTAATTCATCATATTGTCCTCACATCTCCAAACACGTTTGTAATCAAAGCCTGGGGCCCTCCAAACTTGCTGCCACAAAAACACCCCAAGGTTCAGCACTGCTGAGGGTCCCAAGGGAAGCACCAGGCAGAAGGAGAGTTCAAAGACCTCAGGTACCAACTTAACCCCATCCAAAAAACTGCTGGGTAGTGAGAACCCCCAGCACAAACTGATCTGCCAGGGCAAGCCTCTCTGAAACATCACCCTTACCACAATTTGAGATTTCTCGTGGCTCTTGTGTCGCAGACATCTTGTATGAAAAATCCTTTCCTTAGGATTTTTCCTCCTGAGAAACTGAGAGGCCTCAAGAACAAAATGTAAACATTGATTATCTGCTGCTGTGGAATGCAACAGGTGGGTCTGTGATTGGCCCATTTGGCCCATCTTGGATGTTTGTAATTAATGGCCAATCACAGTCAGCTGGCTCGGACACAGAGCCCGAGCCACAAACCTTTGTTATCATTCTTTGCTATTCTATTCTTAGCTAACCTTCTAATGAAATCCTTTCTTCTATTCTTTTAGTATAGTTTTAATATAATATATATCATAAAATAATAAATCAGCGTACTGAAACATGGAGTCAGATCCTCATCTCTTCCCCAATCCAAGAACCCCTGTGAGCACCGTCACACTCTTGCTCTTCCAGCTGAGGACATCCAACAGAAAACAAGGCAGCCCAGACCTTCCCAGGCTGCAGCTGGAAGCCAAGGGCAGGTTTTCCCCTCTCCCAAGGAAATTTGGAATTTCTCCCAAGGAAAGAGGAATTTCTCAGCATCCTCTGAGCATCCCAGAGGGTTGCAGAGCCCTGCCAGCCCTGGGGCTGGTGCTGCCCTGCGACCTCCCCGTGCCCCAGCCCTGCCACAGAGGGTGGAGGATTCCCCAGCTCCTGGGGGGCTCTGCCAAGGCCGCTTCCCCTTCTGCCCCACTGCCTGCCCTCGTGACACCATTTCCAGAGAAACCAGGGAAATTCAGCCTCACCCACGCGTCTGAGGGGCTGTGACACACCCCAGGCAGGGCCAGCACTGCAGGGATGCTCCTGCAGAGCCTTTCTGGGGCTTTGGGGCTCTCAGGGGCTGCTCTGCTCCCCAAACACATCAGGGACCCTCCCTCTGCTCTCCAGCACAAATTCTCAGCTCAGGGACAACACCAGAGATCCCCAGCCTTGGCTTATCACAGACTCCAACCCTTCCAACGACTGCACCAGAGATAAGACAACATCTTATCAAACATGAAAATAAATTTTCTCACAAAACACTGAATTTTTAGGCTACACCATTAGTTTAGTGAGCCACTGACCCCAGGCTGCATGGAAGCGGAGCCCTCCACAGACAGGTGAAATCCCCCTTGCTGCTGGACACTTCAACAGCTGGAACACCTTCTCCATGCTGGACATTACTGAGAGCTCAGTAATTTTATTATTCTATCTGGGCATGAGCCAAAAAAGTGCAATGAAATGGCAATATGTCATAATCTGGGCTTTTTGGGCATTGCTCAAAAAGATGTTTTTTTTCCTAAAGCCTCCAGAATTTTGAGCAAACAGCAGTGAAGCCTAATGAAAACCCTCCACATGCCCAAGTTCCACACAAATTACTTTATTCCATTATTTGAAGCCAAAAGGAATAAAAATGAACGAGGAACAACGGGAACATTAAAGCAAATACTCGGCTGTAAGTGCAGAAAGGCTCTGATCCTGAATGACCAATTCCAGCCCTAAAAGGCTTTCACTGCCCAGTGTGGTAGAGATTCCTGGTAACTCATAAACAGATCATAATGCCTTTCAAAATTAAGACATGAGTCAGCTTCATTTTAAAAATTAAAGAAACAAACAGAGCTAAACTAAGCTCATGAGAAGGGCACTGGGCTGGTATTTTCCCATCTCATTCATCTGAAAGCAAAGGCACAGCCAGAGATTAGAGAAGCACCCAAAACAAAACTAAAACACTTGGTGTGCTTTAAAGTCAGCTAAATTCAGAAATTAACTTGTCCACCCAGCCCTTTTTACCACCAGAAGCCTCAGGAAAAGCAGCACAGTGAACCATGAACACTGCAGCTTGAGCCCAGCATTCCTGAACTTAGGGAAAAATAAAAAAATGAAGGATAGGCACAGAAAATATTATGGAAGAAAAAACAACAAAAGACACAGGACAACTTATAGAAATCAAAGAGATTGGAAGCTGGATGGTAATGGATTTAAAAAAAAAAATTAAAAATCAGTGTTTCCTGTATCCAGAATATAAACATGGGGTTCCAGTTTGAAAATCCCTAGATGCCATCAATCCAAAATCCCATGAAGCAGAGCAGCAACAGGCTCAAAGCAGAAAAGGGCAAGAACTGAAAGAGCCCCAAAATTTGGATGCTCCTGCTCCACCTTTTGCCTTAAACCACATTTATCACTAGTTATAACAGAATACGATGACCAAGGCAAACATGAGGCCAATGCACAGCAACACATCCTCAGCACACAAAGGATGCCCTGACCCTGCTGCATCCCGGCCACTGCAGCTGGTGGGAGCTGGTCCTGGCTTGGGATGCAGATCCAGTGGATTTTCCTGAACCCTCTCCTGTTTGAGGTGGCAAAGAGACTTCTCCAGAAACACAAAACCTCTTTTACCCTGCACTGGAAACGGGACTCATTGATACAGGGCAGAACCACAGGGATTTTAGAGCAACCCACACAAGCACAAAGCCTTTCCTGCCTGCTGCTCATTTCCTCCCTGCCCCAGCCAGAGAACCTCGTGTTCAGCACCAAAGTTCTGTGGCTGTTTACTCTGGGGAAGGATCAGGAGGCTGACAAACACACCCTGGTCATGCATGCTGAAAAATAACAATAAAAGAGTTAACACTCAAGTCAAACCACCTCCCACCAACTCTAAGTAGGAAAATTTTTCAGTGAAGGCACTGAACTTGCCAAGGTCTTTTAATCCAGCTGGCAGGTCCCAGCAGTCCCCCCTCACTGTGTGCAGCCCACGATTGTGCTGCAGCCCAGGCACCAGGACTGGACAAAAAACACCATCACATTAAACCTCCTTTGTTCCAAAAAGCCCTTTTTTCCCCTGCAGAAAGTGGCATTGAGCTAAACACAACTGCCGTGGGATTTTTAATTTTTTTTTTCCCCTTCTTACTCTCTCTGCTTACAGCTGGGGAGAAGGGATGGCTGATTCCCAGGGACAAAAAAAAAAAAAAAAAAAAAAAAACCATAAAAAACCCAAAACCAAACCAAACCAAACCCCAAAAAACAAACAAACAAAAAAAAGGAAAAAACTTTAAAAAGGGGGAAAAAAGGGGGAAAAAAGGGGGAAAAAAGGGAGAAAAAAGGGGGAAAAAAGGGGGAAAAAAGGGGGAAAGAAAGGGGGAAAGAAAGGGGGAAAGAAAGGGGGAAAGAAAGGGGGAAAGAAAGGGGAAAGATTCAGTTTTTAAGTGAGAGGACAATGGAGGTGCAGGAACAAGTTTCCACTTTGAGCTGGATGATGAAAATCCCGTTTCACACCATTGGAGCAGCAGAATCTGGAACAGCTTTCCAGTGGGAGGCAGTGGGGGCAAGGGAGGGAAGAGCTGCAGGCAGAGCCCATCAGCCCCCGAGGGGATGGGCAGCCCTGGGCAGCACCCGGGGCTCTGTCACCTTCCCCACCTGGGCTTTCAGCAGCAGGATGGAGGGAGGAGAGGCTGCGATAAACCAGTGCCCTCCTCAATCCTCAGCAAATCAAGCAGCGCTCAGGCGTTTCCCTGTAATCACCGCCCTCATTGCTGACATCCAGGGAGTGGAAAAGCTTCACCTGCTGTAGGACTGAGGAGGAAAAGGTGTTTACAACCACCTCAGGCTTCCAGAGGCACTGTCACACCAGATCTGCTCGGCTCTGCAGCACCAAGCTCCAATTCCAGACTCTCCTCCATCTACTCTTCCTCCATCCTTCACCCCCTCGGGGCCTCAGGCACAGAGGGCAGTGTTAGCCAGGATCCACGGCCCAGTAATCCATCCCAAATAAGAAAGATAAAATGATAACAAGCCATATAAACTGCTGCTGGAGGGTTTAAACTGCAGGATTGCTTTGATGGGATTTCCATTTCTGTCTTCAGAGCCTCTCTGTCCTCCTACAATGTAAAATAATTCTCACTCCATGGAAACATGAGCCTAAGTCATAGAAAAATAAAGAGAGAAATACTCAAGGTCTTGTCATGCCCTGAGATAACCATCCGTCTTATGATGTGAGGAAAGATTGCCTGAGACAAAGAATCATTTATAAAAAGGAAAGGCTGAACTGCCACATTAGTCTTGAAGAAAAAAAGATTATTCTAATGCACAGAGAGCCATTACACACCAGCAATTCAGTAACAGTGCTCAGTTTGCACTTAAGGCTGCATTCACCATGCTGTCTTCACTGAGAGAGCACAGCTTTAAACCCACAAAAAACACAACACCCAGGGGACAGAAGTGTGTAATGACAGAGGACCCAAAGCCCCATTTAATGACTTTATTAGTGGCTCCTACCCCAGAATTCAGTCCCCAAGATGTAACCAAGGCAGCCTCATTATGTATTACAGATCGATGACATTTTCTGCAACTGAAATATCTTTTATTCAAAACAGCCTTCCTTTGCAATTTAAGGTTTTATAAAAATGCAATTAATAAACATCTAAAAAAAATTTCCAAACACAAAAAACCTGCTGGTGAAAAATGTAATCTCTCAGTTATTTTACACCCTGATTTTCACTTTCTACTTTAGCATCCTTTCTGCATTCCCAGCTGCCATGGCCAGACTGTTCTCTCCACCTCAGACATCCCTCAGAATCTGTTTGAAACCTCTGGTTTCACACAAGAGATTTTATTTTTTTTTGCCAGATATACACCCAGGTGCTGGGGAAGACCCAGATCTGACCTTCCTGAGCACCACCTTCAATCCCCATTTCCACCCAGGTGCAAGTGGGCACATCCTTGAAGGAATCACACCTTGAGCAGGGCAGCCCTACAGGGCTTGGCCACTTCACCAACCCTCAGCCACGACTGAGTGGCAAATTCTGGCAAAGCAGCAGGCTGTGCCCAGATGTCCCCAAGGAGACGGGTTCATCCTGCAGGGATGGAGTTATTTACCCAGCCCAGCAGGAAATCCTGCCCTGATGCCCCATGTCTGTGCCTGGCTCTGCCTTTTGTGTGGTCACAGCTTAGCCCAGCCATGCCAGGCTGAGAGCACCAGGGCTTTGTGACAGGACACAGAACACCTGGGACGAGCTGTGGCTTCAGGGCTCTGGCTACTGAGCCTCTCCCAAATGCCAAAGCAGTAACAAAAGAAAATAACCCTCTTTGACAGCAGGGAAGGGAAAAAACAAACAAACTTTCACTGGCTGGCTGATTTCGCGAACAAATATTTCCAAAAGAAAAAGAAAACCCAGCTGGCTTCCAAATACATAAATTAAAGTGATTAACAAAATTTTCTTTCCCCTGTTACATTTCCAACCCATCCTATTCTTTGTTAGGAGCATCCCTGAGCTAAATGGCTCCCTCTTATCATGGATCCTGTACTAACAGAGTATTCAGGGAAAGGCACTCACCCACCTGAGAAACAGCAATAGCAAACCCTGATCCTGGACATCCCCCAGCTGTAGCAGATCAGCCCAGTGGTGATACTCACATGTGGGAAAGCACAGCTCTGCCCTGCTCCCCTCATTTCTGTTCATTCCACACCCTCCCTCTTCCTTCCTTCTCGCTTCTTTTTCCCTGCTTTGGTACCTTTCCAGTGTCAGCTGCCACCTTTATCCTTTTGTGCACCCCACTTCTCAGCAAACAACATTCTTGCACCCCTTTCTGGATATTTATCCTGCCTCTGCTGCATTACCTCATCAGAAGGAGCTGGCCTGCCACACCTGCCCAGCCAGGCTGAATATTTCCTACACTACCTACAGACACAAGTTATTATCTCGTGTCAAGCAGCCCAGGGCATCTCAAGTTTCCTGTCCCTCCCAGGCAGAGGAGCACATTACAGCACCATGAATAGCTCTCCTCTGCCAAAGAACCCGAAGCAAAGCAGTCGCTACAGAAATTGGGTTGATGAACAGGGAGGTGGCCCTAAGGAAGCAAAGCCACGAGGGTTCAGAAGAGGCTGAGTGATGTTAATATAGCACATCTTGACTTACAAAAGACACTGGCCCAAATTCTCCTCTCTGACTTTCACATTCACTAAGACATCTCTGTATGCAAATGTCACCAAAACCCAAGCACGGTTCTGTTCTTTTACAAGCCCTTTTGGTGCCTTTAACAACAACCTCCTTACCCTGATATGAGCTATTTTATCTACCTACAGCTCCATCGCCACCCTGGTGATGCCGAGAAGCTTCCCATTTTGCCCGGGGGCTTTATGTTCTACACCCACAGGGTGAGGGAGAATCACCCTGCTGATCTGAAAACGGCCGGGGTTTGCAAAGTTTTCTCCAGGAAGGAACAATTTAGGCAGACACCTCCTCGGGGAGCCCAGGCTGTGCTCAGCAAGGCTCCTCGGAGGTGGCTGGTACAGGCAGACAGCAGCAGATGGGTGGGAGCAGGCGGCGCTGCAAAGCCGCTCACGCTGTGCCCAAAGTTCTTTGTCCTTTCCAGCTGGGAACCGGAGGACACAACGCGTCTGAAAGTGAACTGCAGTGTCCTGGGATGCAGATCAGGGATGTAAAACCGCCGGGAATGGTATGAGGTGGACAGCGGTATGCAATAGATCTTGACATCCTAAAGAAATCAATTGCTGGGAAAATAGGGCTCAGCTGAAGTGCTGGGTTTTCCTTTAACCTATAGAATGACAGAGGCTGAGAAGGACATCCTTTCTATACCCCTCCTCAGAGCCATCCTGCTCAAGCGAATATAAATTTAGGTTATTCTGTATGGTGATTTTTTTTTATTTTTAAAAACAGGAAAGTTACTTGTTTTGCAATTTTTCTAAGGTTGTTCTCAAAGACAGATCCCACTACCCCACGCAGACTCTGCTCAGCAACAACACCACGGCCCGACCCCAAAAAATTCACCATCCAAAAGGCGAAGAAGACATTCCCAACCCAGATTTTCTCCCCTCGGCACACGCAGACGTGTACAGCCATTGCACCCCGCTCCCTGCGCAGCGCAGGCACCCATCGATGGCAGCTGGGCAAAGGTTGCTGGGCAGGATGTCCGCAGCGCTGCCTCCGGTTGTCCCCGGGTGTTTGCTCGCTGCCAGGGCAGGAGCGGCCGAGGGGACACGGGGGACGCGGTGCAGACAGGGCAGAGCCCGCACCGCTCCCGGCCCCGGCAGCGCTGCATTCCGCGGGGACCCGCGGGGATGACATCAGCGCTCACGGCCGCCCGAGGAGCCGGGCTGGGCCGGGGGAACGGGGGAACCTCGGCCGGTGGGGCCGGTGCGCGGGGAGCGCAGCGCATCCCTCCAGCAGCCCCGGAGCATCCCCCGCGCTGCATCCCCCGCGTGGGGACGGGGTCGGGCACACCCTCGGCGGGGCTCCGGAGACGGCACAGCCCCGCGCCCCGTCGCTGCCGTGCCGAGCCGTGCGGTACCGCGCTGTGCGGTACCGTGCCATGCTATGCTGTGCTGAGCGGTACCGTGCCATGCTATGCTATGCTGTGCGGTACCGTGCCGTACCGTGCGCTGCGGGCAGGGGCAGGTGCAGCCGCCTCCCGCGCCCCCCGCCTCCCCTGCCCTTACCCGGGGCGGCGCAGTCGGCGCACGCCGCGTTCCCCGGCCGCTGGAGCAGCTCCACCAGCGCCTTCCTGCTCCTCTCCTTCGCCATGGGGGCGGCTCGGCGGGGCTGCGCCGGCTCCGCGGCGCTACGGCAGCCTCATGGCGCGGGCGGGGGGCGCTGGCGAGGCGGGCGGCGCCCGGGCGGCTCCATCGGCCCCGCTCGCCCCGCGCACGCCGAGCGCGCCTCCGGCCGCCGGGACGCGCCGCGCCGGGGCGGTGCTGCCCTGCCCTGCCCTGCTTGCCCGGCCCCGGTGCTGCCCTGCCCTGCCCTGCCCTGCCCGCCGCTGCCGGAGCCGCCCGGGGCCGCCGGTTCCGCTCGCAGCGGGCGCTGCCGCCTCCCCGCGCCGCTCGCCCGCGACCTCCAGCGGCAGCGCCGCACCGGGGCGGCCCCGACCCCCGAGGGGTTCCCGGCCTTCAGGGCATCCCGTCCTGCTGGCATTCAGGGGTGCCTGTCCTGGTTTAACTCCTGCCCGTGGAGGGGATGCTGCCGCCGGTTGTTGTATTGCACTAATAACCGCTGGGAGCCGAGGATCCTCACCTGTGCGAGGTGGCAGCCACCCCGGCTCTCCCTAGCCAGGGCCTTGCCACAGAGGCAGGTTCATGAGCAGCACGTTTGAGATACCCCTCTAACACCAGCAGATTTTGGCAGGTTCATGAGCAGCTCTTTTGGGATTCCCCTCTAACATCAGCTGCCTTTGAGGGTACTTGTGAAGGTCTCATCAGTAGCCCCACGCACTCCAAAACTCTCCTCCTTCACTGCTGTCCTTGCACATCGCCGCCCGCTTCCATGCCTGTGTCTGGGCAGGAGTGTCCTCCAAGCATCTTCCCATGTTTTTCACACCTCCATGGTGTCAGGGGAGTATCAGGAGGGAAAACACCCCTGTGCCACCATGGCTGTCCATCTCATGCCATCTATGGGGCAAGACTCCTTGTTCTGCCAGCCAAAGACTAAACAGTCACTCAGGGGCAGGATGTGGGAGGCTTTTGGCCAAGGAAGGGCTCAGAGCTGTCTCCTTATCTAACCCCTGCTGAAACCTTCTCACGTATGGGTCACCTGTGATGCTGCAATGTCCTGTCTGTGGTTCACAAGTCTCTGCTAACTAAAACAATCTTGGTTTTGCAAAGCAAGTCCCCATTTAAATCATCCAACTCTGTTTCCTCCAAGAAGGCAGAGCCCTCTGCAAGCTCAGCCCATGCCATTCATGCTGCCCATGAGATTCAGGGTGTGCACGAGCAGGAGGAGGCTGCTCCTGGAAAACTTCCACAGCCAAACCACCATCTTGATCCTGCAAACATGAGGATGTGAGCAGGTTCCTGAGAACACTCTGTGGGAGCAAATAGCCCCTTAAATACAGGCAGAGTCATGGCTTGGTGCATTTACAATGCTCCCTTTGCCTGGAATACATTCTCCTAAATGACCTTTGCATCTGTGCTGCCAGACAGGTGACTGCATGCAGGTTTATTTCTGTTTTAAACTGATGCTGGACTGTTCCTTGCTGACTCAACTCAGTGTCTCACATCGTGCTGGGCTTGCTGGATTTACACACACAGCTTGATAATATCTGGAAACTCACTGCCATCCTAACCAAAAGACAAATCCTCCTCACAGACCTTTTGTGGGGAAACTGAGCTGCTGCACCCAGGGCCTCACCTTCCTTAGCCCTAACACTCACCTGGAGCACTGAGTTTTCACAGCCTCAGAGTGAAACCAGCTCAGCTGAGCACCTTAACCCTCCACACCTGTGCTGTGCTCAGGCTTGACAGTGTAAATGCTACAGGATCAGAGCTTTACCTAAGCCCAAGTTAGGCCAGGTTTTCACTTTGGCTTTTGCAGAAGAAGCATTTGCTGAATGTTTCATGCAATAGCCAGGATGCTGCACATCATCATGGACTCACTGTGGGCCAGGGTTTGGAGCAGGGAGGGGTTTGGTTTGAAAGTCTCTGTTTAGCTTTCCATTAAGACTTATTGATTCTCTTAATTTTTTGTTCCCCTGGTTGCTAGGCAATTCCTGTCTCTCCTCCGTGTGCTGGAAGCCAGGGCTGCAGACAGAAATTTATATCTTGTAATAAAATCAAATAAAACAGAGCCTGCTGTCAATGATGAGAGGGGAGAGTTTCATAAAGGACAGGCCGAGCAGGGGAGCAGGGCCAGCAAGGGTCGATCAGCAGCATCCTCAGCATTTAAATCTCATCACAATTACTCCAGACTCCACATGGGGAAACAAACAGCCCGTGTGGGTGGAGGGAATGTGGAGAAAAGTTGGAACTAAATAGCCAGAAGTTAAGATAAACTTTTGTTCAATGGGAATCAAAGCCCTGAGCCAACCTCACACGTACAGGGATGTCTCTGTGAATTTACTCCTGGTTTATCCAAGGCTGAGAGGTTGGGTATTGCCCCAGTGTGGGCTGGCACAGTGTTGATCCAGGCAGGCACTGAGGTTCTCCTGATGGACCCTGGCTCCTGAGGAGTGTGATTCCTGGATAAAGCAGGGGCTGCATCTGAGTTTATTTCTCACATGGGATAAAGAGCAAAGGTTGCCCCTGCAGGGCTGGTGGGGGCTGATGGCATCACTGCTCAGGCTTGTCCATGCCAGGCTGTTCCTTCCTCTGAGCTCTGGCCCACACTCTTCCTGTGGGTAGCACCTTCCAGGGAATGCCTAAATGAATTTGCTCCTTATTGTAAAAGCAGGGTAACTCTGATGATAGGAGAAATCATGCATTTCACTCTATTGATATTAGAAGGCTAATTAATTGCTTTATTATACCATATTATTCTATATTATATTACATTTAAATTGAAATTGTACAAGTACTTAATTTAACTTAACTGTACAGAATTTCATGACTGTCCACTGACAGTCCTGACATGCACATATGGATTCAATTGGTTAATGAATCAAAACACACTAGAATTTAATTACTTTTTTTTTTTTTTTTTAGGTAAATAATTTTTACAATGTATTCTACTTGTTCTAAAACACAGGAGCAGTAAGTGAGATAAAAATTGCTTTTTCTTTCTCTGTGGTTCAGAGAATGTGAATCTCAGAAATAATTTTGGGAAGTTGTGCTCTGCTTTTCTCTGTGAATAGAAATGTGGCCACAGCTCCTATTTCTTGCAAAATCTCTGACCAAACTCTCTGGAGAAGGATTGTTGCTGTCAATACATCTCCCTCATTCAGATGCTTCCTGTCTCTCCACTGCTAAGTCACTTGGAGGTCTGGCAGAAATTCACATCCATATGTATGTAAGAAGTTCCATATTTATGTGTAAGATGTGTTTGTTTGTAAACACACACACTTTTAACTCTGCCTTTTCCAAGTCACAAGGTTGTTGCCTTAGAAACGGACGGCATTGATGCCATCTCTGAGGTGCTAAGCACAGCGCCAGCAAGGGCAGCCGTGGAAATGCCAGGTACTGAGGTCAGGCCAAAGAACACCCAGAAATTCCTAGAAACCTTTCCATCATCTCTGTGGGGATGCCCTGAAAATGCACAGACATAACTGCGCCTTCTCCTTGCCCTTCCCCACAGCTCCTCTCACCCTTTTGTTAACCTGCCTTTTGTTAGGAGGAGCTGTTCACTCTGGGGTTAGTTAATTCCCCAGCCCTGAAATGGATAAATCAATGTCACCACCATGCAAGAGAAAGGGTGTTAAACACAAGCCTTGCTGTGACCCGGGAGCTCATTCCCAGCACAAGGTGGGGAAGCATTACAGATTCCTGCGTGAACAGCAAACCTGAACAGAAATATCAATAATTCATGCCACAGCAACTGCATTCCAGCAAAGCTCTGGAGGAGCAGACACCAGGCAGGATTCCATGGGCTTCCTCAGCAGCACGGGGAGGCAGCTCTGGCAGCTGGGGGTTTGTGTGAGCGAGCTGCAGCGCTGGCACCCACACCTATGTCACACCAGCACCAGCTCATTTCCGTTGCAGTATTGGTTTCCTGTTCAAAAGAAAAAGAGAAAAAGGAAGAAACCAATCCTAGAGGTTTTTCTGTTAAAAAAAGAAAGAGTTTTCTGGGTTATCCAGTTAAATCAAGAGTGGGTATAGCTGGGAGGGAGGAATATCACAGAGCAGGGCAGTTTAAAAACTCTTCAACCAAAAATCCAATATTGATGCCAACCTGCTCTTATTTTGAGCAAATTGCTGTATGGAGCCTGTGAGATTTTTTGGAAAAGCACACCCACAGCATCTGTGTGGTTAGGATGTGTGGATTGAATTGAAGAGGATAATGCGGGAGAAAATGATGTGAGGGTGGAAAAGGAGCTGTGATGTCCTGTGTCTGCAGAGCTCTCTGCACCTGCAGCAGCCCTCAAAGAAGACAAAGTGTTGTGCAGCTCTGAAAGTGTCTCATGCAGAGTGATCTGCAGATCAGGGTTTCCTTCCATTTGCATAGCAGTTAATTCTATTGCAGTGTCACCAGTGTGAAAAAAGGGGAATCCTTTTCTCCCATGACTGAACAGTCATGCAGCTACCACCATACAAACCAGACCACAGAGATCCTTTGTAGGGAAGCAGAACTGGGGACAGTGAGGACAAGGGGGGAGGTTCAGACCAAAATCTCCTTTTTTAGATTTCTGCAACACCCCAGAGCTGATCACTGCTCTCTCACAGCCATGCTGCCACAAAACTTCTCCAACCAGCAGCCTGTCATGTGCTCAGGACACCCTTTCAGTTTCTTTTCCTCCTGCCTCTGGCCAGCAATGGGCTGGCTGGGGGTCAGTACATGATTGCAGGGGCTGTTTAGTAGCTCAGACAGCATGGCTGGGAGCCAGAATATGTCTGAGAGAGAGAGAGAGAGAGAGAGAGGGTAATTGATGGCTTGAGATGTTGGATATTTGAACGTCTGCTCCACGGCACCTGGGGAAATCTCAGTGTGAGAGAAACAGCTCTGCAACAGCCCTGCTGTTGCACCAAACCCATTTCCTATGATGTAAAATATGACATGGAGGGGGCAGCTGAGGGAATTGGCTCCATGGCAGCAGCTGGAGATACGCTGATTTCCATTGCCCAATGACAGGCTCTTTTCCGTGCACAGAGGAGATGAAATTAGTCCAAGGAAGTCAAGAGTTCACCTGTCTGTGTCAGAGCACTGCTTTTAGCATTA